TAATAATGATAAAAAAGTCCAGATCCATTTTCGCAGGAGCCCAGCTCTGCACCGCCTGGCTTGGGTTTGCCTTAACGTGTGGATGGATGCCTTCACTCCTGCTTGAGCCGGGGGTTGGACTAGATGACCTTCGAGGTCCTCTCCTGTCCTGGCCTCCCTGCTGGCAAACCATCGTCACGGCTCCCTATGGTTTGGGGAGCTCACGGGTCAACCACGAGCTCAGGGAAAAGAAAAGAAACAAACAGCAACAACAAGCAGGCGAACACGCGACACGCCTCGTGCGAACGCAGGCCCGCAAAGCGGAACTTCCCACGGGACACGTGACCTTCTCCCTCCCTCCCCCCCTCCGAGGAGCGTTACGACCGTTGGGCTCTCTCGGCCACGCCCACGGGACGCGTCAGCAGCACGCGAGCCACGCACGCAAGCGGACCTGCCCGCTTCCCCTCTCCCTCCCTTGGTGACGTCATCCCCGGCGGGGATTGGCGGAGAGCGCGGATGACGTGAAAGAGGGCGGGAGGGAGGGGCGGAGATTGGGGCGGGGCTTCCCGGCTGGCTCCGTTCAAACGCCGATGGCGGGAGCGGCGCGGCGGGTCGGTGTGACGGGCGGTCGTTGAAGGAGCTCGGCGTTCTCGCTTGCGAGGAGGCGGCGGACGCTGGGCGCTGGGTGCTGGGAGCCAGTAAGCCTCCTCTGAGGGAAGCGCGTGAGGGGTGCGGGGTGCTTGCCCAGCCCAGGGGTGTCTCTGCACATGCTCAGAGGTGCTGCTTTCCGCTTTCCCCCCGCATTGAATAAGTTAACCTGGAAGGCAATTAGAACGGAAAACCCGAACTCTCAGGTGTCGGGAGACCCCAGAACGGAACAAAAGAACCGAGAGCAGAAGAACAGAGTGGGAAGGGACCTTGGAGGTCATTTAGTCCAACCCTCTGTCAAAAGCGGGGAATCCTATAGTAAGTCAGACGAGTGAGTGGGCTGTCCCAGCCTCCTCAACTTTTAACGACTCACTTAACAAGGACTCACTTAACATCGGTGGTGAGAAAGGTGGAAAAATGGGGCACTTAGCAAATGTCTCACTTAGCAACCTAAATGTTGGGTTCGTTTGTGATCGTAAGTTGAGGACGACCTGTATAAATCCGTGCAGAATTGTACACCATAATCGGTTCAGTCCATATTAGTGGGGGGGGGGGGGAACTGATATTTTTTGCTCCTAGCTTTGCATTATACTGCATTAGGATTTATGATGAATGGTATAGGTTCTTCTGCTAGAGCAGGGGGCTGGACTAGAAGACCTCCAAGGTCCCTTCCAGTTCTATTCTATTCTAAAATGTTTGACTTTGCTGTTGTAAGTGTGTGCACTGAGCACTTGTGCACTGGAGACAAATTCCTTGTCTGTCCAATCACACTTGCCCATGAAGGCTTCTCTTTTCCCTTCCCTTCTCTTTTCTCTACTTTCTTCTTGTTTCTGTTCTTCCCTTCTCTTCCCTTTTCTCCTCTACTTCTTTCTGTTCTCTTGTTCCCTTCTCTCTATTCTCTATTTTCTTCTTGTTTCTGTTCTTCCCTTCCTTTCATTCTCTACTTTCTTGTTCCTGTTCTTTTCCTTTCCTTCATTCTCCTATGACTCAAACTATTAACTCTAATTCTAACTAACTAACTCTAACTCTACATTTGTTTGCTTTTATATCATGTTTGTTTTGGATTATTTTACTATTCGTTTTGCTCTTGTATCTTGCCCAGGAGAGGCTGGGTTTGGAACGGGTTATAAATATCGTCAAGCAAGGCACTTCCTTGCTTTGTTTGGTCACATCCTCCCTCTTGTACAGATAATCCTTGACTTACAACTTAAATTCAGTTAGTGACCGTTTGAAGTTATAACAATATTGAAAGAAAAGCCTTTCCACCATTTTCTCATACTTAAAACTGTTGCAGTGACCGCATGGTCATGTGATCAGAATTGGGCACAGTGTGTATTTATGACAGTTGCATTGTCATATGTGTCACCTGTGGCCCCTTTCCCAGTCTTTTGACAAACAGCTCACGGGGGGCAAGATTCACTTAATGTCCATGTGATTCACTTAAGAACTGAGGAATCCCTTAACAAGGGCAAAAGCTGTAAAATGGGGCAAAGCTGACTTAACTGTTTTGCTTAGTAACAGAAATGTTGGACTTAATTGTGGGCGTAAGTCAAAGGCTACCTGTATCTTTTATAATTCCCAGTTTGGAGAAATGATAGTTGGGAGACTCTGACAATGCATTCAAGGATGCTTCAGTGCAATGGCTTGCCTCCAGAAGTCCAATACTGGAGCTTTTTAAGAAGAGATTGGACAACCATTTGTCTGAAATGGGATAGGGTTTCCTGCCTAGGCAGGGGGTTGGACTAGAAGACCTCCAAGGTCCCTTCCAACTCCTATTCTATTCTATTCTATTCTATTCTATTCTTTTTCATTCCATTATTCTATTCTTTCTATTATTCTTTATTCCATTCCACTCCATTCTCCTTCTTTCCTT